CAACGTATGCCAATCACTGTACCCAAAGATTATACTGCATCCGATCTTGAGCCAGAGCACAGGTAAATTGTTGGCTAATTTAAGGTAAATGTGGGTATTCTATTTTAGATTTTTACATTTTTTAGATTGTGGTACTTCCGTGAAGATATCGGCATCAATTTGCATCACTGGCATTGGCATTTAGTGTATCCATTCGATGGCAGCGATGCTGTTGTACGTAAAGATCGTCGTGGTGAACTTTTCTACTATATGCATCAACAGGTTTGTCACACTTTCCTCGTATTTCAATGCACAGTTTTCGTTGAAATATTTCTTGAACTTACTCGATTCTTTTTTTTTTTTTAAATGAATTAGATTGTTGCTCGTTATAACTTTGAACGCTTTAGCAACAACTTGCCTCGTGTGCAACGTCTTAATAACTTCAGAGAGCCAATTGCTGAAGCCTACTTCCCCAAAATGGATTCATTAGTCGCATCAAGAGCATGGCCGGCTCGTCCATCAAATACCCGAATAACTGACATGAATCGTGAATTAGATCAGATTCGATTTGACGTCAGTGACTTAGAACGATGGACTAATCGTTTCGTTGAAGCATGCCATCAAGGTTTTGTCATGAACGTATGTTGAATTACAATAATTATTGAATTGGTAATTATTGTAAATTCTCTTAATATTTCTCCATAGACTAATGGTGAACGCGTCACATTGGACGAACGCACTGGTATTGATACTTTGGGTAACATCATGGAGTCATCTCAATTGTCGATAAATCGTCCTCTCTATGGCGACTTGCATAATATGGGTCACGTTTTTATCTCGTATTCTCATGATCCAGACAATAGGTACAAAAATCAAAAATCAAAATTATTTTCCAAAATATCCTATATTTTGCTGCTACATGAAGTGTTCTGTTTATTCTATATTATTCTTCTCAACATTTAACTTCTCATAGACATTTGGAGAGCTTTGGTGTAATGGGAGATAGTGCAACAGCTATGCGAGATCCTGTCTTCTATAGATGGCATGCATATATAGACGATTTGTTCCAAGAGCACAAACAACGTTTGCCACAAGTATGTTTTAAATGATTTATCCTTTTGTTGGTTCCTTTCAAATCAATTTTTTACTAATTCCAATTTTCAAATAGTATACAACGCAACAACTTGACTATTCAGGCATTCGTGTAACTGGCGTTGAAGTACAACCAAAGCGAGGGCCAGCAAATACACTACAAACATTCTGGCAACAATCTGATGTCGACTTGTCACGTGGTCTTGATTTCAATCCACGAGGATCTGTATTGGCACGTTTCACACATTTACAACACTCAAATTTCGAATACAGAATCAATATTACGAACAATACAGGTGCTCAAGCAATGGGAACATGCCGCATCTTCATGGCTCCAAGAAATGATGAACGTGGAACGCCAATGTTCTTCAGGGATCAACGTCAAATGATGACCGAAATGGATAAATTCACCGTTTCATGTAAATATAATTCTTTTTTTAATTATTTTCGAAATTTAATATCATTTTTGTATTGAAATATACAGTGAATCCTGGTGATAATTTGATTCGACGCAACTCCACCGATTCATCGGTTACAATTCCATTTGAGCGTACATTCCGTAATTTGGATAGAAATCGCCCAACCGCCGGTTCCCAGAATGAAGCCGAATTCAACTTCTGCGGCTGTGGTTGGCCCCAGCATATGTTGGTCCCAAAAGGTTTGCCCGGCACCGGTCTTCCAGTCGATCTGTTTGTTATGGTTTCAAACTACCAAGACGATCGCATCGATCAAGATTTGGTTGGAACATGCAATGATGCGGCCAGCTTTTGCGGAGTTCGTGATCGTAGGTATCCAGATCGACGATCGATGGGCTATCCGTTTGACCGTTTGCCACGCACTGGTGTTGATAGTTTACAACAATTCCTCACACCAAACATGGCCACTACTCAAATTACCATAGTTCACACCGATCGAACT